CTCCCAGAGTTGGTATATCTATACAACTGCACCCCCCATGCCACAACCGGCTTTTCGCCACACATGTTGCTGTTCGGACGGGAGGCTCGACTCCCTCTTGACTTGTTCCTAGGAAAAAAGGAGAGTATGACTGGCTCATACACTGCACTGGAATATGTGAATGAACATATGAGACGAATTAGAGAAATGTACAGGGTAGTACAGGAAAGACTAGAACATGAAGCACGGCGAAGGGAACCGCCGGTACAGACAAAGGACCCGCCACTCAAACTGAACGACAGGGTATTACTGCGTAGCCACCCGTTAGGCAGAAACAAAATCCACGATCTCTGGGGACAGGAGATATGGCAAGTCGTGGAGATGCCTAAAGTAGCAGGTGGCCCCTTTAAGATAAGACCCATCGATCACGCCAAACCGGATCGGTGGGCGAATATTGCTCAATTAAAGAAATATTGTCATAGTCAAGAAGAGCAGTTACACACAAGGAAACCTAAGACAATTAGAGAACCGGAAACTATAACGGAAATTCACATACCCATCCCGGAACCATGTCACCATCAACAGCGCAACAGCGATACACAAGGGGAGGATAACGGCAACGAAGAGGATCCCGGTCCTTCCAGAAGCAGAGAGACAGTAGACCATCAGATAAGTGGTCCGCGGAGAAGTTTGAGAAACAGAAAGAATACGAAATTTTTCGTCAGCAACCATCAATTCTTTCATGGTCGCGCTGGTATGAGAACAGACTGTTCAAAAAGCTATAAAAGTGAACTGGTGAAAGCACCAAACGAAAAAAAAAGGTGGATGTGAATTCTAGAACTGTTTTGTGTCTGAGGAAGATGATGTAGACACATTTGATATGTGAAATAGGGATAACTGTCAATCTTTTACGAATGGGACGACATTGACAGTGAATGGAACAATAAATTTTTTTTACGATGGTGCGATGGATATTTAGGAAGTGCACCTACCAAGCGTTGTTTGTGGTTGAAAACACACAAAAAAAGGCGGCGGTGGATGTAACTAGGGTGGGCCTAGTTACTAGTCACTATTGTTGAGAACGCGATAGTGCAGGTGTTGGACTGATAAGCCAACTGATAACGATCATAAAGCCACGGCGTAGTTTGGAAGGATACGACAAGCGCTGTCAACTTTGACACGACTTGGCTGACGAAACAGTGCAGATGTTATATTAAATCGGACTGTACGACAGAAGCGGCGTAATTAACATTCTGATGCAACGATTAGAATCGATTACGATTACGATTATGATAGAACCGAATACGACTACGGATACGAAGGGGATATAAGGAAGGCGACGGCTGAGCTCTCAGTCTCTCTCTCTCTATCTCGATCAGTCAGTCTGTGTGGCAGTATCAAGTTGGTTATATTGTGTTAAGAAGGACGATAGACATGTGTATTCAGTTATATGAAGACTAGTGAGGACTGTTGGGAGTCAGTTGATTCAAACTATTATTGTGAAGCATTCCTTTTGATTCATTATATTATTGTGAAGCATTTCTTTGATTCATGTAATAAAAGGATCAATAGCGAACCTGCATCTTCGAGTATCTATACTGTGGTCGATGTTGTGTAGAATGAGTGGTTAGACTCGGTAACATTTGGCGTTGTCGAGCAGAACTCGTTAACATTTGGCACTACAGGCAAATAGTCTCGTTACATTTGGCGCTGCGGGCAGGATATGCAAATACACTAGGTCACATATATATATATATATATATATATATATATATATATATATATATATATATATATATATATATATATATATATCCAAGCAATGTATGTCTGTTTGTTTGTCTTTTATGCATTACTACACCTTTTATCCGATCGCCATGAAACTTTGCAGGGGGGGGGGGGGGCGCCCCGGTAGGGCGAGATTCGATTCTTCTCTATATACGGTATATAAAAATAAAAGTCGATTGCGGTTTGACAAATTTCATCCGATCGCCATCAAACTTTGGGGAGTTTCTGCAAAATAATAATTTTAAATTTCGCAAGGGCCGCGCCCAGGGAGGGTGCGTATTTTGTCAATACACGGTTTGGCGCCCACAGTTCCGGAGCGGGTGCCAAACACTTGGTATCTGTTAATCGGGCGTCCTGCATAGCGGGTAAGGGGTACTACTATATTCAGTATTAAAACTTCAACAGGCTCCGGCTATTGTGTGACCTGAAACGCCCCGGACTCCCCTGTAAGCACTTTGGCGCGTACGTTCGTTTTTTAAAGGCTATACACTAAAGACACGATGGACAATAATAATCTTTGACTATATCGAATCAGACGCGTCCCCCGGCGCCCCTGCAAGGTTCGATTTGTTACAGTCGTTCACTAAATGGAATCAGGCGCGTTCGCCGGCACCGCAGCAGGGTTCGATTTGGCGCCATGCGCTATCACGTGAGCACTATGGCGCCTACGTTAGTTTTAAGTAGCACCTTAAAATATTGACAAGAAGGCACACAGCATTCGATGATTAAACCGAGCCAAGGGTCCGTACGCAATGATGAAACACTCTTAAAATATTACATCATACTTTTATATAAAACTTAACAGAATTAGAAAAACTCGATAACATTATTCAAACATATACAACTTAACAGAAATAGAGAAACTCTATAACATAAACTCTATAACATTATAAACTCTATAACATTACTAGCCGTCCCGGCCCTGCACTGGCATCTCTGAAAAACGTATCTGTAAAGGACCCTAACGTGTGTGTTTAGTAATCAGCATTTACCCGGCGACAAAACACAAAAATCGCAAACATAACACTAACACAAAACAAACACAAACGAAAACACAAAAACAAACGCAAAGAAAACACGAACACTAACGCAAACAAAAAAGCAAACGAAAACAAATCCAAACGCAAACACAAACCCAACCACGACCAAACAAAACCAAAACACCAAAAAAACATCGCAAACATAACACAAACACAAAAACAAACACAACCACAAACACAAAGAAAACACAAACGCAAAAAAGCAAACGAAAACACAAACGCAAAGAAAAAAAGCAAACCAAAACAAACCCAAACCCAAATTAAAATGCAAACACAACCACAAACGCAAACTCAAACACAAAGAAAACACAAACGCAAAGATAAACTCAAAGTGTCCACAGTCTAGCCCGGGGCGCCAAATCGCACCATGACGACGTGCGGCGTAACCGCCTGACTCAACTTAGTAAACGACTATAGTAACCAACTTATTCAAAGTCTTTTGAACTCACTTTCGCGAACGTAGGTACCATAGCGAAAACGGGAAAGCCCGGGGCGCCAAATAGCACCCTGTCGGGGTGCCGGAGGACGCCCGGATTTGATTAACTTAAAGACTATAGTAACCTTTCTTATCCATAGTCTATCGCACTGTTTAAAACGAAATTATGCAGCATAGCGCTCACATGATAGCCCAGGGCGCCAAATCGAACCGTGCAGGTGCGACGGCGGACGCGCCTGTTTCAATTTAGTGAACAAAATTATAATACTCTAAGCTTATCCGCAAATGGAAAGAAATAAACATATAGGATTTGTGGGAACTGGCTTATTAAATGTTATTGATTTAAAAAAATAATTAGTAAACAGTATGTTCAGTGTATAGAATAAATAAAAGGCAGTTTTAAAAATACCAACGACATTGCACTTAATCAATCCCAGCTAATTATGTAATTATTTTTTTTCCTAACACCAAAACAAAGTAATAAAAAGTAAATTCTTTCTTCCCCGATTTAATGTTTTTTTAAAGAGAAGTAACTGTGTTCTTCAAATCAAGGGACGTTAAGAGAACTATAGGACAAAATGCAAAAACATTTCAGACACAATTTTAGAAATTTTATAAACGTTGATACACTTTTTAAAATTGTATATAAAGTTCGTAATTGAAAATTACTGTTCTAAGTATATAAAATGAAAATTGTTTTGAAAGACTTTCAATAGTAATTTTTTAATTCATAAATTTAGACCATGAGCACTTAAATAATCTAACTCTTGAATCCATCGAGGTTTCGTTTTTTTTCTTTTTTTTTTCTTATATTCCTTTGTAATCCTCGATTACAAACATACAAACATACAGAATTGAGCTTTATATATTAGATTCAAACATAAAAAATTCAATAAAATAACAGCAACAAAAACAAAAGTCAAACAAAATCAGCCCGGATCTATTCTCTAGATCTACGTGTGAAGGAAATTCTGTGGGGACTTTTTCCGATCGTTTGTTGGTGTCAGCATTATTTTAGACATTTCTGGAGCTTTAGTGGACGCGACAAATCCAAAAGTTTTAGTGGAGGCGACAAATCCAAAAGTTTTAGTGGAGGCGACGAGAGGCGTAGCGAGGGGGGCGGCGGACCGCACCGGGTGACACCATTTAGGGGGGTGACACCAAAGCAAAAAATTGTAAAAATATGTAGAGAAAATGTTTTGAAAGGGGGGGGGGTGCAAATCGAAAGTTTGAGAGGGGGGTGCAAATCGAAAGTTTGAGGGGGGGGGGGTGCAAATCGAAAATTCAAAGGTTGTTCCCGGGAAGAGTCGCTACGCCTCTGGGGGGGGTGACACCATTAAGTGCCGCAACGGGAAACACCCGACCTCGCTACGCCACTGGAGGCGACGAACCCAAAAGTTCGTGTTCAGTTATCACTGGCTGATTAATTACACATCAAACTCCGATCTCATTTTTTATCTGTACGTAGTGGCATATTTTGGGAGATGGGGGGGGGGTGTCACACCTGAAAGCCGGCCACGGTCAAGCCCGAAGAAAGCCCACCACGGACTAATATTTAAGATGGGGAAGATAACTGATTTAGATCGGATTTTTTGAGTTACCAGGTCGCGGATATATAGGTAGACACTGTGACCATGTCCAACCTTCACCTCAATAGTCTCAGTCCCCGGGCCAATTCTCACAAAAACCTCGGAGTGGGCCGATAACAAACGTCTTACGAGTGGCATCAAGTGTGTACAAGTGAGGGTGATAACAAAGTATGTTATCGCTGGCTGGATGACGGGCCTTTAGATCACACCAGACCCGACATAACAGGACGTCACAAATTTTACCCGACACAAGAGGACCACAGGCAGCTCGCAGGTACCGCTCCAGTTACAGGGGAGTTTCAATCAGCGGTCAACGTCAGTCAGTGGTCAACTGGAATTGTATGGTTACCATGGCAACATGTCTGGGTGCTCTGATTGTGCTGGTGCTAATGACGTCAGTCTCTAGCATCCCCATCGCGACGGGTGAGGACGGGACCTTGAACCCACCCATCGTGGTACAATATCTGACCCCACCTGAAGGTCAGCGGGAGCAGCTGACGTCAGACGATGTTTTGGAAAAAGTTCACAGGAACGCCGTCAGCAACAAAACCAGGCGCTGGGCGAATGGCATCGTGCCGTACACCATCAGCAGAGAGTTCCCCACAGGTAGGTGCTATGTCCTAACATGACCTATGTCCTAACATGACCTATGTCCTAACATGAACTATGTCCTAACATGTTGAACTATGTCCTAACATGTCCTATGTCCTAACATGCACTATGTCCTAACATGACCTATGTCCTAACATGAACTATGTCCTAACATGACCTATGTCCTAACATGAACTATGTCCTAACATGACCTATGTCCTAACATGTCCTATGTCCTAACATGAACTATGTCCTAACGTGTCCTATGTCCTAACATGTCCTATGTCCTAACACGTCCCATGTCCTATCAGCCATCCAGCTGACCATACGAGAGGCTATGGACGAGATCGAGGCTGACGCGGCCAACGGTTCCACCAAGTGTGTCCAGTTTGTCCCCCGCTCCACAGAGCCGCGCTACCTGCAGATCAACACGGGCTCTGGCTGTCACTCGACCATCGGCTATGACGAGACGTGAGTACCCGGGTCACGTGGGCCATGGGGGGGGGGGTGGCCATGTCATGTGGGCTGGGGGGGGGGGGGGGTGGCCATGTCATGTGGGCTGGGGGGGGGGGTGGTGGCCATGTCACGTGGGCTGGGGGTGGGGGGGGGCGGCCATGTCACGTGGGTTATGCTTTTCCAATAATTTATTTTAGCCCATAGTCACCGAAATGACATTTAACCATAACCTACATATCACCTGTCATCTACGTGTCATCAACTGTCCATTACGTCCCCTCCCCAGCGAGGAGCTGTCCTCCACCCTGGGGGCAGGATGTGAGCAGAAGGGCATCATCATGCACGAGCTGCTGCACGTGCTCGGCTTCTACCACGAGCAGAATCGGCCTGACCGTGACCTTTATGTCAACATCAACGAGACCAACGTGGCTCTCATCCGGGACTTTTACATTAGGAACAGTTCGGTCATCGACACGCTGGGTAGGTTTACACTCTGGGTAGGTTTACACGCCGGGTAGGTTTACACGTTGGTAGGTTTACACGCTAGGTAGGTTTACACGCTGGGTAGGTTTACACGCTGGGTAGGTTTACACGCTGGGTAGGTTTACACGCTGGGTAGGTTTACACGCTGGGTAGGTTTACACGTTGGTAGGTTTACACGCTGGGTAGGTTTACAAGCTGGGTAGGTTTACAAGCTGGGTAGGTTTACACGCTGGGTAGGTTTACACACACGTCTCCCACATTAGGAACAGTTCGGTCATCGACACGCTGGGTAGGTTTACACGCTGGGTAGGTTTACACGCTGGGTAGGTTTACACACGTCTCACACACACGTCTCCCACACACACGTCTCCCACATTAGGAACAGTTCGGTCATTGACACGCTGGGTAGGTTTACACACACACACACATGTCTCCCACATTAGGAACAGTTCGGTCATTGACACGCTGGGTAGGTTTACACACACACACACATGTCTCCCACACACCGGCATCCCACACACGTCTCCCACCCACACGTCTCCAACACACCGGCCTCCCACACACACGTCTTCCACAGACAACTGTCACACACACCGCTCTCGTAGACTGTCTTGCTTGACGAAGCGATAGCTGGAGAGGGACAGGCTAAACACACGATGTTTCCTAACTGATCAGCTAAACACACGATGTTTCCTAACTGATCAGCTAAACACACGATGTTTCCTAACTGATCAGCTAAACACACGATATTTTCTTACTGATCAGCTAAACACACGATGTTTCCTAACTGACCAGCTAAACACACGATGTTTTCTAACTGATCAGCTAAACACACACGATGTTTATACCCTCTCTCTTGACCAAGATACCACTCTCTTGACCAAGATACCCCTCTCTTGACCCAGATACCCCTCTCTTGACCAAGATACCCCCTCTTTTGACCCAGATACCCTCTCTCTTGACCCAGATACCCTCTCTCTTGACCCAGATACCCTCTCTCTTGACCCAGATACCCTCTCTCTTGACCCAGATACCATCTCTCTTGACCCAGATACCCTCTCTCTTGACCCAGGTACCCTCTCTCTTGACCCAGGTACCCTCTCTCTTGACCCAGATACCCTCTCTCTCTCTCTTGACCCAGATAGCCTCTCTCTCTCTCTTGACCCAGATACCCTCTCTCTTGACCCAGAAACCGCTCTCTCTTGACCCAGATACCCTCTCTCTCTCTTGACCCAGATACCCTCTCTCTCTCTTGACCCAGATACCCTCTCTCTCTCTTGACCCAGATACCCTCTCTCTCTCTCTCTTGACCCAGATACCCTCTCTCTCTCTTGACCCAGATACCCTCTCTCTCTCTTGACCCAGATACCCTCTCTCTCTCTCTTGACCCAGATACCCTCTCTCTCTCTTGACCCAGATACCCTCTCTCTTGACCCAGATACCCTCTCTCTCTCTCTCTTGACCCAGATACCCTCTCTCTCTCTTGACCCAGATACCCTCTCTCTCTTGACCCAGATACCCTCTCTCTCTCTTGACCCAGATACCCTCTCTCTCTCTCTTGACCCAGATACCCTCTCTCTTGACCCAGATACCCCCTCTCTTGACCTAGATACCCCCTCTCTTGATCCAGATACCCTCTCTCTCTCTTGACCCAGTTACCCTTTCTCTCTCTTGACCCAGTTACCCTTTCTCTCTCTTGACCCAGATACCCTCTCTCTTGACCCAGATACCCTCTCTCTTGACCCAGATACCCTCTCTCTTGACCCAGGTACCCCCTACGACTTTGCCTCCATCATGCACTACAACCCCTATACAGCCAGCAAGGACCACGCCTACCCGGTGTTGACGCCCAAGCCACAGTTCGCCCATGGGGTCAGGCTAGGTCAGCGTGTGGCCTTGACCGAGCTGGACGTCATCAAGCTCCAGAGACTGTACGAGTGTGTCGAGGACACGAGTCACATCCACTCCGACCTGCAGGGCGCAGTCATCCAGTCCTGTGACTTTGGTGACGGACTGTGTGACTTCTTCAGCCACCCGTCCCAGCCGTTTGACCCGTCCCAGCCCACCTGGGTCGTACGCTCAGGTCAAGTAGAAGACGGCCCGAAAGCTGGCTTTACCAATGGCCTTGACCCCTATCTAACCGTGTCGCCGAGCGTGTCGTGTGCCAGCAGCAACTGCACGGCCTCGGTACACACCTCCCTGAGCCGTACCCCGGACAGTGGCCAGATATGCGTGTCTCTGCAGGTCTACCAGAAGGGCCCGAGCTATCTCGCCCTCTACATACACGGGCCCGGCCTGCCCAGAACCTTGGTGGTCAGCCTCAAGGACAAGTTCGGTGACCACTGGGCCAGGGCTGACCTTGACATCAGCATCCCGCCCGCGCTTGACTTCCAGCTGGAGTTCAAGGCCACGCTCCAGCAGGGATCTGTTTCCGTGGATGACTTTTTCCTCCTACACAGCAGATGTCTTTACATTTCTTAGGGGCGGGTAGACACACGACACACAGGCTACCACACGACACACAGGCTACCACACGGCACACAGGCTACCACACAGGCTACCACACGACACACAGGCTACCACACGACACAAAGTCTACCACACGACACACAGGCTACCACACAGGCTACCACACGACACACAGGCTACCACACGACACAAAGTCTACCACACGACACACAGGCTACCACACAACACACATGCTACCACACGACACATGGGCTACCACACGACACACGGGGTACCACAAGGCTACCACACGACACACAGGTTTCCACACGACACATGCACTACCACACGACACACGGGGTACCACAAGGCTACCACACGACACACAGGCTACCACACGACACATGCACTACCACACGACACAGGCTACCACACGACACATGGGCTACCACACGACACACAGGCTACCACACGACACATGGGCTACCACACGACACACAGGCTACCACACGACACATGGGCTACCACACGACACACAGGCTACCACACGACACAAAGTCTACCACACGACACACAGGCTACCACACAGGCTACCACACGACACACAGGCTACCACACGACACAAAGTCTACCACACGACACACAGGCTACCACACAACACACATGCTACCACACGACACATGGGCTACCACACGACACACGGGGTACCACAAGGCTACCACACGACACACAGGTTTCCACACGACACATGCACTACCACACGACACACGGGGTACCACAAGGCTACCACACGACACACAGGCTACCACACGACACATGCACTACCACACGACACAGGCTACCACACGACACATGGGCTACCACACGACACACAGGCTACCACACGACACATGGGCTACCACACGACACACAGGCTACCACACGACACATGGGCTACCACACGACACACAGGCTACCACACGACACATGGGCTACCACACGACACAGGCTACCACACGACACACAGGCTACCACACAGGCTACCACACGACATGGGCTACCACACGACACACGGGCTACCACACAGGCTACCACACGACATGGGCTACCACACGACACACAGGCTACCACACGACATGGGCTACCACACGACACACAGGCTACCACACGACACACAGGCTACCACACGACATGGGCTACCACACGACACACAGGCTACTACACAGGCTACCACACGACACACAGGCTACCACACGACACACAGGCTACCACACGACATGGGCTACCACACGACACACAGGCTACCACACGACATGGGCTACCACACGACACACAGGCTACCACACGACATGGGCTACCACACGACACACAGGCTACCACACAGGCTACCACACGACACATGGGCTACCACACGACACACAGGCTACCACACGACACACGGGCTACCACACGACACAGGCTACCACACGACACACAGGCTACCACACGACACACAGGCTACCACACGACACACAGGCTACCACACGACACAGGCTACCACACGACACACAGGCTACCACACGACACACGGGCTACCACACGACACACAGGCTACCACACGACACAGGCTACCACACGACACATGGGCTACCACACGACACACAGGCTACCACACGACACACAGGCTACCACACGACACACAGGCTACCACACAACACACAGGCTACCCACAGTAAAACCTGCTAGCATGAGATCGAAGTCTTAAGGGCTAGCTGTCCAGTCAAGAAAACTATTTAAAACAGTAACCAAAAGATTTAAGAAACACAGGCGTCTTCCTATTGGTTGAAATTAGTCACGTGACACGCTATGTTCCAATTATCGCTGAAGTCATTCAACCGTTTAGACAAAATAAAACGGATAATTCAATTCGTTTTCGCCATAAGCGTGTTATGTCAAAGGCTGAATTTTGGGGTCAGGGAAAATGTGAACAGTTTTTTTGTCAGGGAAAATGTGAACAGTTTTTTGTCAGGGAAAATGTAAACAGTTTTTTGTCAGGGAAAATGTAAACAGTTTTTTGTCAGGGAAAATGTAAACAGTTTTTTGTCAGGGAAAATTAGTTTTTGTCAGGGAAAATGTAAACAGTTTTTTGTCAGGGAAAATGTAAACAGTTTTTTGTCAGGGAAAATGTAAACAGTTTTTTGTTGTGATGGAGGCCCCGTCTATTCACATGTTTACAGTGGGTGCATGAAGAGTTGACGTGACATTATGGCTCTATGTTCCAAAGTCAACGTGACATTAAGGCTGTACCACTAAACGTGACCTAATGCTGTTGTCCTTATGATCGTTGACCAAATGCTGTTGACCTAATGATTGTTGACCTAATGCTGTTGACCTAATGCTGTTGACCTAACGATTGTTGACCTAATGCTGTTGACCTAATGCTGTTGACCTAATGCTGTTGACCTAATGCTGTTGACCTAATGATGTTGACCTAATGATGTTGACCTAATGCTGTTGACCTAATGATGTTGACCTAATGATGTTGACCCCGTATTTGTCTACCAGAGGCGCCCTATGACTTTGGCTCTATCATGCACTACCCAGCCTTCGCCTTCCCCATAGACCCGACCTACCCCACCATCACCCCCAAGCCGAGCTTTGCCGCGGGCCTCAAGATGGGCCAGCGTATCGCCCTCAGCAAGATTGACGTCATCAAGCTCCAGCGGCTGTACGGCTGTGTGCAGGACGATACTCACGTCTTCTCTGACCTCCAGCAGCACGTGCTCACCTTCTGCGACTTTGGTCAGGACATGTGCAACTTCTCGTACGTCCGCACGACGGCCGGCCCCGCCCAGACAGCAGATGGTAGCGACCCGTCCAGCCTGGCCCGATGGACTGTGACGTCAGCATCTATATCGGGCGGGCCCAAGGGAGGGATGACCAACGGGGTGGACTCGTTCTTGTACGCCTCTAGGACGACGGCCGCCAACGACAGCACGCCGCTGGCCACGCCATCCGTGCTGACCACGACATCCGTGCTGACGCCGGTCATACGCTCACCAGACGACGGCAAACTGTGCATCACCTTCCAGATGTACCAGCGCGGGCCCGCCAGCTTCATCTCCATGTACCTGGTGTTTGAGACGCTCCCCAGGACCCTGCTGATGATCAGGGGAGGGGACGCCAACCGCTGGAGTAGGGCGGTGCTGACCACCGAGCTGCCCCCCGGCCTCAACTTCCAGCTGGAGATAGTCGCCAACCTGGCGCAGGAGCCGCTCGCCATAGACGATTTCTACGTGCTCAAGTCCAAATGTTTGTACGCCTAGACATGACGTCACGCCTAGACATGACGTCACGCCATGTCTAGGCGGGACGTCATGGTCAATGGTATCTGGACGTGACGTTATAGTTTGCTTTGTCAAACCCCCACGTGTGAGTGTATTTTGACATGACTTTCAGACTCTAAGAAAAACTATTGGAACAAATCGTCCGCTTTAGTTTTGAATGTACTTGCTATAGATATACTTGTACACTATATAACCTTATTTTTTTTTATACAGAAAGCAGAATGTGTGAATGCACTGATCAGTTCTGATATCTTTTAAACGTAAATAAATATGTGCTTGCAATCTGCGTGGTCCGTGTGACTCATTAGCTAATTTTCTGGTGGTTAATTAGACATGTCATTAGCTAATTTTCAGGTGGTTAATTAGACATGTCATTAGCTAATTTTCAGCTGTTTAATTAGACATGTCCTTAGCCAATTTTCAGGTGGTTAATTAGACATGTCATTAGCTAATTTTCAGGTGGTTAATTAGACATGTCATTAGCTAATTTTCAGCTGTTTAATTAGACATGTCATTTGCCAATTTTCAGGTGTTTAATTAGACATATCATTACACTATGATCAAGTAATTAATTAGACATGTCATTAGCCTATGATCAGGTAGTTAATTAGAGCCGTAATTAGCCTATGGTCAGGAAGTTAATTAGACATGTCATTAGCCTATGGTCAGGTAGTTAATTAGACATGTCATTAGCCTATGATCAGGTAGTTAATTAGCCATGTCATTAGCCTATGGTCAGGTAGTTAATTAGAGCCGTAATTAGACTAAGGTGGAGCGGTGAATGTTAAGATGACCAGGGCTACCCTACGACTTTGGGTCCATCATGCACTACGGCACCTACTCTATGGCCAAGATCAGAGCCTACCCAGCCCCCACCCCCGAGCCTACCCAGCCACCACCCCCAAGCCTACCCAGCCACCACCCCCAAGCCTACCCAGCCACCACCCCAAGCCTACCCAGCCACCACCCCCAAGCCTACCCAGCCACCACCCCCAAGCCTACCCAGCCACCACCCCCAAGCCTACCCAGCCACCACCCCCAAGCCTACCCAGCCACCACCCCCAAGCCTACCCAGCCACCACCCCCAAGCCTACCCAGCCACCACCCCAAGCCTACCCAGCCACCACCCCAAGCCCCACCTGGCCCAGGGTCTGAGACTCGGACTACGGCCTCAGCCAGCTGGACGTGCTCAAGCTCCAGAGGCTGTACCAGTGTGTCGAGGACACGAGTCACGTGCTGTCTGACCTTGACCTCAACCTGCTGACCTCGTGCGACTTTAGCGAGGGCATGTGCCAGCTGACGACTGGGCCCAAGGTCACCACAGGTCCTGTAGAAGGTCACCACAGGTCCTGTAGAAGGTCACCACAGGTCCTGTAGAAGGTCACCACAGGTCCTGTAGAAGGTCACCACAGGTCCTGTAGAAGGTCACCACAGGTCCTGTAGAAGGTGGACCTAACGCAGGCTTCACCAACGGACTGGACGAGTTTTTATACGTGCCCGCGCCAAACACGAGCCAGCCGATGACGTCATCCGTCCTATCCCCAGTGCTACACGCCCCACCCAGCGGCAGTGCTACACGCCCTCAAAATTTAACAGAAGGTAGAGAATTAGATCTTTTACTTACATGTGAAATTTCTTTTATCTATCTGAAATAGTACTCAAGTTATAGGCTTTTGAAAAATTCAAAGTAGAAAAAGTACCACTTCCGGTTATCGGAAATCGCCCAAAAGTTGATACGGATCTACGATTTTGATAAAATACTTATATATGAAATTTCATCAACCTAGCTGTAACGGTACTCAAGTAATCGTGTTTACACACGGACACACACACAGACACACACAGACACACGGACAGAATTGCAAAGCCCAATTTTTCAGACTGGATTACGCATAAAACCTCTTAATTTTGAAAAAATTGGATTGATAATTATTGCCCGATTAAAATAAGTCCTCTATACTTCGGATGTGTTGAAGGACTGAGGTGTAATACGGTGAAAATTGTTAAAATTTCAAGTGATTTTTGTGCACGATTACAATACTTTCTCTATACTTCGTATATACGAGAAAGTAAAAAATCAACGGTAGTTCACGCTACAACATTAGATCACGATACAACAGTAGATCACGCTTGAACAGTAGATAACGCTACATAAGTAGATCACGCTACAATAGTAGACCACGCTACAACACTAGATCACGCTACAACAGTAGATCACGCTACAACAGTAGATCACGCTACAACAGTAGATCACGGTACAACATTAGATCACGCTACAACATAGACACTACAACAGTAGATCACGCTACAACAGTAGATCACGCTACAACATAGACACTACAACAGTAGATCACGCTACAACATAGACACTACAACAGTAGATCACGCTACAACATTAGATCACGCTACAACATAGACACTACAACAGTAGATCACGCTACAACATAGACACTACAACAGTAGATCACCCTACAACACTAGATCACGCTACAACAGTAGATCACGCTACAACATTAGATCACGTTACAACATTAGATCACGCTACATCAGTAGATTACGCTACAACAGTAGATCACCCTACAACATTAGATCACGCTACAACATTAGATCACGCTACAACACTAGATCACGCTACAACAGTAGATCACGGTACAACATTAGATCACGCTACAACATAGACACTACAACAGTAGATCACGCTACAACATAGACGCTACAACAGTAGATCACGCTACAACAGTAGATCACGCTACAACACTAGATCACGCTACAACAGTAGATCACGCTACAACATAGACACTACAACAGTAGATTACCCTACATCATTAGCCTCACATGACATATCAGATGTAGGTAAAGGTTGAAAAGAAAACAAAGAGCAAATGTTTACATTTCTTTAGAAAACACCTAACCAGTTAATGGAGTCGATCTCTACACGACAAACAATGGAACCATTAGCCGAATTCGTTGATTGGTTGCTTGCCGTGTATCTAATAGGAGGGGGCGGGCAATGACAGGGTCTCATTAGGAGAGGGTGATCAAGAGGGGAAACATAAAACGTGACGTCACATGGAACATATAGAAGGAAATATTCTAAAGCCGGAAAAGTACACAAAGTAGAGTAACGTCATTGATTCTCGAGTAAACATGTAATTTAAAAGCCCATTTTGTCTAATCTTAAAAGTGGTTTGTGAGCGGAAATTCTTTCATGCATCTCTTCGGGTAGGGGCGAAGCCCCCCTCCCCCTGGTATAAGCCTAAGGCCCCCTCCCAAAATGTATAATGCCCCCCCCCCCCCCCCGGAGAAAAACAGTCTAAAAGAAACACTATTTTCATGATTGAGGTTTAGCGGCCAAAAAACGTGTCTATATTATAGTAGTAGGGTCTACCTTATAGTCTGTATGATCTAAAAATGCCTCCAGTGTTTCTTTCATGGGGGGGGGGGGAGGGTACTTGAAATTTTCGGAGGGAGAGGGTGGTTTAAAGTATATATGGGGAAAAGTATATTTTCTATATAAATTAGATTTCGTTGAAGGGTACGGTAGAAGTACTTCGGGGTGGGTGGGGGAGAGGCTCAGCCACCCCCACCCCTAGAATCGCCTGAAAGAAACTCTAAATGTGAATTTTGTAATGTTTGATCTTAGGTGCAAGGTTAAGGGATATGACTTGGACTGTGTTTAGTATCAATGTGCAGTTACTACGTGTAGATCGAACTTAAATCTGGTACAAATGCCGATTCTGGATAAACAATTGAAGTTGAGGTGGTGATTTTGGTTTTGTTAAAAAGACAACACTATCAACCTAGCGCCCGTTGTATTTCTCCCTCAACGGGCCATTTCTCTCGTAGAGAAAGAAAAGCTTTTTAACCTGCTGACACATACAGCACGTCCAGTGCAAGTTAATGGACGGCTAATTCCATCTGGCAATGGACGGCTAATTTAATCTGGCAATGGACGGCTTTAGTCTTAATTTAGTTAGGTGCATTCATCGGCTGACATCCATCGGCGTCCATCAGGGTTTACACGGCTACACGACCCTCAGGGTGTGTGGAGCAGTTGACCAGGGCAGCTTGACCAATGGCCAGACAAGCTTGACCAATGGCAAGACAGGCTTGACCAATGGCAAGACAGGCTTGACCAATGGCCAGACAGGCTTGACCAATGGACAGACAAGCTTAACCAATGGCCAGAGAAGCTTGACAAATGGCCAGACAAGCTTGACCAATGGCAAGACAGGCTTGACCAATGGCAAGACAGGCTTGACCAATGGCCAGACAGGCTTGACCAATGGCCAGACAGGCTTGACCAATGGACAGACAAGCTTGACCAATGACCAGACAAGCTTGACCAATGGCAAGACAGGCTTGACCAATGGACAGACAAGCTTGACCAATGGCAAGACAGGCTTGACCAATGGACAGACAAGCTTGACCAATGGACAGACAAGCTTGACCAATGGCCAGACAGGCTTGACCAATAGCCAGACAGGCTTGACCAATGGACAGACAAGCTTGACCAATGGCCAGAGAAGCTTGACAAATGGCCAGACAAGCTTGACCAATGGCCAGAGAAGCTTGACAAATGGCCAGACAGGCTTGACCAATAGCCAGACAGGCTTGACCAATGGACAGACAAGCTTGACCAATGGACAGACAAGCTTGACCAATGGCCAGACAAGCCAAACCTTATATCCGTGTTTATTTTAAGTGCAATGTATAGAAACAGCAATTGGGCAAGACATCAGGTATATTCAAAACCGCCCCGAGAAAATTAGTGAGAGTTCAGAAGGTAATGAAGGTCTGCGTCTACATTACAGATTTCGGTATAATAATTAAAATAGGCAATTTTAATAGTGTGACCAAATGATTTATATAAAAGATTAAAAAAAATATTTTGAAGAATAGACACAACTTATTTACTTTATCAAATATAAAAAAAATATTTTTAAAGAATAGACACAACTTATTTACTTTATCAAAGATACATTTTTTTTTTAAAGCCAGTTCTGGAACATCCAAGTTGAAAAGATTCAGACTTGGTAGGTTTTTGGGACGCCATCTCAGGGTGTTGTTTTTGTTCCCTAGATCAACAGGGGGGGGGGGGCAATTGAGATTTCTACCGGCCGCATCAGACGCCCTATAGTCACGTCCCACTCAATGCTTGCTATCAGACGCTCGAGTTTCAAAAGCCAATTTCATCCAGTCAAAAAGTTTGTTGATCTAGGCCTTGGTTCACGGAGCTCGCAAGTCTGTGTTTAAACTCGCATCAAATCTTCACGGAGATTTCAGACAGACGCCGATTTAGTTGGGGCCAAAGTCAAGTCTGTCCAGTGGACATTCGTCAGGAGCTTCGACCCGCGTCTGGGGCCAAAGTCAAGTCTGTCCAGTGGACATTCGTCAGGAGCTTCGACCCGCGTCTGGGGCCAAAGTCAAGTCTGTCCAGTGGACATTCGTCAGGAGCTTCGACCCGCGTCTGGGGCCAAAGTCAAGTCTGTCCAGTGGACATTCGTCAGGAGCTTCGACCCGCGTCTGGGGCCAAAGTCAAGTCTGTCCAGTGGACATTCGTCAGGAGCTTCGACCCGCGTCTGGGGCCTAAGTCAAGTCTGTCCAGTGGACATTCGTCAGGAGCTTCGACCCGCGTCTGGGGCCAAAGTCAAGTCTGTCCAGTGGACATTCGTCAGGAGCTTCAACCCGCGTCTGGGGCCTAAGTCAAGTCTGTCCAGTGGACATTCGTCAGGAGCTTCAACCCGCGTCTGGGGCCTAAGTCAAGTCTGTCCAGTGGACATTCGTCAGGAGCTTCAACCTGCGTCTGGGGCCTAAGTCAAGTCTGTCCAGTGGACATTCGTCAGGAGCTTCGACCCGCGTCTGGGGCCAAAGTCAAGTCTGTCCAGTGGACATTCGTCAGGAGCTTCGACTCGCGTCTGGGGCCAAAGTCAAGTCTGTCCAGTGGACATTCGTCAGGAGCTTCGACCCGCGTCTGGGGCCAAAGTCAAGTCTGTCCAGTGGACATTCGTCAGGAGCTTCAACCCGCGTCTGGGGCCAAAGTCAAGTCTGTCCAGTGGACATTCGTCAGGAGCTTCAACCCGCGTCTGGGGCCAAAGTCAAGTCTGTCCAGTGGACATTCGTCAGGAGCTTCGACCCGCGTCTGGGGCCAAAGTCAAGTCTGTCCAGTGGACATTCGTCAGGAGCTTCAACCCGCGTCTGGGGCCTAAGTCAAGTCTGTCCAGTGGACATTCGTCAGGAGCTTCGACCCGCGTCTGGGGCCAAAGTCAAGTCTGTCCAGTGGACATTCGTCAGGAGCTTCAACCCGCGTCTGGGGCCAAAGTCAAGTCTGTCCAGTGGACATTCGTCAGGAGCTTCGACCCGCGTCTGGGGCCTAAGTCAAGTCTGTCCAGTGGACATTCGTCAGGAGCTTCGACCCGCGTCTGGGGCCAAAGTCAAGTCTGTCCAGTGGACATTCGTCAGGAGCTTCGACCCGCGTCTGGGGCCTAAGTCAAGTCTGTCCAGTGGACATTCGTCAGGAGCTTCAACCCGCGTCTGGGGCCTAAGTCAAGTCTGTCCAGTGGACATTCGTCAGGAGCTTCGACCCGCGTCTGGGGCCAAAGTCAAGTCTGTCCAGTGGACATTCGTCAGGAGCTTCAACCCGCGTCTGGGGCCAAAGTCAAGTCTGTCCAGTGGACATTCGTCAGGAGCTTCGACCCGCGTCTGGGGCCTAAGTCAAGTCTGTCCAGTGGACATTCGTCAGGAGCTTCGACCCGCGTCTGGGGCCAAAGTCAAGTCTGTCCAGTGGACATTCGTCAGGAGCTTCGACCCGCGTCTGGGGCCTAAGTCAAGTCTGTCCAGTGGACATTCGTCAGGAGCTTCGACCCGCGTCTGGGGCCAAAGTCAAGTCTGTCCAGTGGACATTCGTCAGGAGCTTCAACCTGCGTCTGGGGCCTAAGTCAAGTCTGTCCAGTGGACATTCGTCAGGAGCTTCAACCCGCGTCTGGGGCCAAAGTCAAGTCTGTCCAGTGGACATTCGTCAGGAGCTTCGACCCGCGTCTGGGGCCTAAGTCAAGTCTGTCCAGTGGACATTCGTCAGGAGCTTCAACCTGCGTCTGGGGCCTAAGTCAAGTCTGTCCAGTGGACATTCGTCAGGAGCTTCAACCCGCGTCTGGGGCCTAAGTCAAGTCTGTCCAGTGGACATTCGTCAGGAGCTTCAACCCGCGTCTGGGGCCTAAGTCAAGTCTGTCCAGTGGACATTCGTCAGGAGCTTCAACCCGCGTCTGGGGCCTAAGTCAAGTCTGTCCAGTGGACATTCGTCAGGAGCTTCGACCCGCGTCTGGGGCCTAAGTCAAGTCTGTCCAGTGGACATTCGTCAGGAGCTTCAACCCGCGTCTGGGGCCTAAGTCAAGTCTGTCCAGTGGACATTCGTCAGGAGCTTCGACCCGCGTCTGGGGCCTAAGTCAAGTCTGTCCAGTGGACATTCGTCAGGAGCTTCGACCCGCGTCTGGGGCCTAAGTCAAGTCTGTCCAGTGGACATTCGTCAGGAGCTTCGACCCGCGTCTGGGGCCTAAGTCAAGTCTGTCCAGTGGACATTCGTCAGGAGCTTCAACCCGCGTCTGATGCTGCAGCCATTCACAGACCGGATGTGCGTCACAGGTCGAGCCACAGACCCCAGCACGTGCTTGTCTGAGGTCAATATCTCATCCATTTCAGGAGAATCCCAGGAGAATCATCGGCTTCAATCTCATCAGTCACAATCATAACAGACCATCGGCTTCAATCTCATCAGTCACAATCATAACAGACCATCGGCTTCAATCTGATCAATCCCAATCATCCACTAGCAGATAAGACCTGCGGCCCTCACTGGTCGAACTATCTCCCACTTGACAGCCGTCAATGGCATAAGTCAGACTAGACCTCTAATGCTTAATGACGTCTTACATACGCTAAAGTGAGACGACTGATACTAGACCTCTAATGCTTAATGACGTCTTACTCACGCTAAAGTGAGACGACTGATACTAGACCTCTAATGCTTAATGACGTCTTACTCACGCTAAAGTGAGACGACTGATACTAGACCTCTAATGCTTAATGACGTCTTACATACGCTAAAGTGAGACGACTGATACTAGACCTCTAATGCTTAATGAAGTCTTACTCATGCTAAAGTCTAGTGATTAATAAAGGCTACGAAAGCTGAAATGCGAGGTTCTCAACTTGGTATTGTTCTGGTACGGCGGGGGGGGGGGGGGGGGGGTCTTAAAACGATTGTAGGAAAAAAAGTCACAGGAAAAAAAATCACAGGAAAAAAAAACACAGAAAAAAAGTCACAGGAAAAAAAGTCACAGGAAAAAAAGTCACAGGAAAAAAAGTCACAAATATATATTTGCATGATATTTGATAATACTTTTATGGATTAAATATTCAGAGAGTGCAAATTAACTTAGGATTAATTAAATAAAATGTAATGTGTGTAGGCTGTATACGCATTGGAATTTTTATAATTCATCTAAAAATATTTATTATGAAGTATGTAGAGTGTTTTATTTTAAACTTAAGATTAGTAGCATTTAATAGAATGCTCCAAAGTCTACGTTTTTCATCGTGTTTTTTTTTTAAAATAGCAATATTAAATTATTGTGAAATGGTAAGTTCTGACTTGCAACTCATGGCAACAATAGTTATGTTTAGTTCAACCACCTTTACTACCCACATTTATCACGCTCATTACATAACAAAACTTAGGATCAAAACAGAAAGCCGACAAGGTTCAAAGGCTGTCATTGACGCATAACGTCAACAACACAAAATATGTTCGGACAAAGCCTACTGGGGAGAGGCCGACCAGAGAATAGCCTACGGCAAAATTTCCCTAAATTTCTTTTATAATTAACTTTTCTACTGCGTATTTAACTAACTACGTAACACAAGTTGAGATTGTTGCGTTAATTATCTTAGAGTATTTTTACTTACAATTGTTATAAATCATAATGCTTTAAACGTCTATAAATAATTTATGCTATAAAAAATACAACCCACAACAATAAACAAACAAATTTTTACAATTCTTAACAAATTAACAAAAATATTTCTAAAAAGATTTTTGTGACTTTTTTTTCTGTGACTTTATTTCTGTGACTTTTTTTCCGATAAAATTTTTCCACTGTGACTTTTTTTCTGTGACTTTTTTCCTAGCAAAAAGTGTGACTTTTTTTCTGTGTTTTTTACTTTCTCGTATATACGTAGTATAGAGAAAGTATTGTAATCGTGCAAAAAAAAAAAAATCGAGATTTTTACAAATCTCGACGTTTTACACCTCACTGATACGGAAAAACATAATTTTGCAATCTTGTCCGTATGTCTGTGTGTGTGTGTGTCTGTCCGTGTGTGTGTCTGTGTGTAAACACGATAACTTGAGTACCGTTACAGCTAGGTTGATGAAATTTCATATATAAGTATTTTATCAAAATCGTAGATCCGTATCAACTTTTGAGCGATTTCCGATAACCGGAAGTGGTACTTTTCCTACTTTGAATTTTTTAAAAGCATATAACTTGAGTACTATTTCAGATAGATAAATGAAATTTCACATGTAAGTAAAAGATCTAATTCTCTACCTTCTGTTAAATTTTGAGTAATTTCCGTTGACTGGAAGTAGTAATTTACGCTACTTCCGATTTCTCAAAAAACTAATGTAAATTTTTAAAGTACTAATAATATTGCGCACTATTATACGCGTTTTTATTCGGCGTTTGCTTGGTGCGCAATGTTTTTTTTTATGATATTCTATTCTATTTTTAAAAGTTTAAGTATTTAAAATGGATTAAAAATCATAACTATATCCCCAGTTACCATCCCCTGTTGTTTTATATAAGAATATTCGAGAAAGTTTAGGGGAGATCACTACCGGTTTATTTTTCCTGTGACTTTTTTTCCGTTTACCCTTAAAACTACGTTAGTAGATAGGGGGAGGTATGACTCAGGGGGTAAGAACACGTGACTTGTGGGGGAGAGCTACAGGCTGTTTGACTGCCAGACGAGATGATGCAAGTGGGAACTTACCGGCATATTGAGAAACTCAGCCACAGTGTTGGGGCGGCTTGAGCCCCCACACGCCCCCAGCATCTCGTCCCCTCCCCCTGCCACCACACCCCCGGGATCTCGACTTCCGCTTGGCCTAGTTTCACCGGCACGGACGTCTTGCATCATTTCTTGTAAAGATTCTGGCTCAGGGAAATCTGGGAGAGAAAAATGACAAGTTTAAAAACGACAAGTTTAAAAATGACAAGATTCGTGGACATCTTTTAAACAGACAAGTTTTGCCACAATGATTTAGATTTGTCAAGTGATGGGATATAAAGACAAATCGTCAGAGGCTCAGGAAACTACCTAAGTAGTGACCACAAACATAGGAGCTAGCATAGACAGACAAGTGACAGACCAACTGACCACAAACAGACAAGTGACAGACGAACTGACCACAAATAGACAAGTGACAGACGAACTGACCACAATAAGACAAGTGACCTACCAACTGACCAGAGACAAGTGACCTACCAACTGACCAGAGACAAGTGACCTACCAACTGACCACAAACAGACAAGTGACCTACAAACCGACCACAAACAGATGACCTACCAATGGTTTCCTCCCGGTCACTGCTAGTGCTGGGTACGGGTTTCTCCTGAGTCCTGGCCTGCTCACGTGTTTGTCGGGGCGAGCTAGAGTCGAACCTGGTGACGGGGGGAGAGGCCTCCCTCTCACTGACAGGGACAAACACCCCCACAGCTGGCGGGGAGGCTGGTGGGGCGGCTGGTGGGGCGGCTGGTGGGGCGCCGGGACCGTCTACCCGATCGTAGGCGCCGGCGGGGTCCCTCCATGAGGCGCTGGTACCGGCCAGTCTGGCACCAGAAGTAGGTTGTAGCGTCAGCTCCTGCAAGCCTGAGGTCAGCACCTCATCGTCCGACTGACCTTGACCTTCTTTACCGTGCGTGTTGGAGTCGTTGTAGTTGAGGGAGGTGCTGGAGGAGGTGTGGGATGTGCTGGTGATGGTGGTGATGTTGGTGTCGCTGCCAGACACGTTGGTCGTCTCGCTGGCTGCCCCGGTCGTTTCATACGAGGCTGGGGATAGAATGGTTCACATGTCACTTTGTGATAGATTAATTGACAGGTCACTTTGTGATAGATTGGTTCACATGTCACTTTGTGATAGAATGGTTCACACGTCACTTTGTGATAGATTGGTTGACACGTCACTTTGTGATAGATTGGTTCACACGTCACTTTGTGATAGATTGGTTCACACGTCACTTTGTGATAGATTGGTTCACACGTCATTTAGATTCGTTTACACATTTCAATTAGCATAGACCCCCCCCCCCCCAATCTTCATCCCACAGAAACTTGTCATTTTATTTTGATGACAACTTGTGAAAACGAGACATATAAACATTGTCGTAACACACGGACTTAAGACACATTGATTCACATTGATGGCATAAGACAACATGACTTAAGACAATATAACTTAAGACAACATGACTTACACCATGACTTAAGACAACATGACTTAGGACACTCTGACTTAAGACAATATGACTTATGACAACATGACTTAAGACAACATGACTTAAGACACCACGACTTAAGACAACATGACTTAAGACAACATGACTTTAGACAACATGACTTAAGACAACATGACTTAAGACACCACGACTTAAGACAACGTGACTTAAGACACCCTGACTTAAGACAGCATGACTTAAGACAACATGACTTAAGACAACATGACTGAAGACACCATGACTTAAGACAACGTGACTTAAGACAATATGACTTAAGACAACATGACTTACTAGTGTCTCCACTATCGAACACACGATGACTGGCAGGTGTACTGAGGATAGAAAAGAATAATTCATTAGGTGTGGTTTGGTGAGTGGTGTAGTGAGGTGTTGTGTGGTGTGAGGGGTGAGGTGTGGTGAGGGGTGAGGTGAGGTGTGTGGTGAAGTATTGAGGTGAAAGTGGGGTAATATCGGACTGATTGAGAAAAGCATGAAGGTATTTGTAGAAATCTACGGCGTCACTAGGTGGATCATGTCACACAGAAGAAAACTATGTTTTAATAGCCCGCTCTTTTTGTGTGGGAATCCACCAGGGCTAATTTTTGAATGGTGTGACGTCAGATGTGCTATGAGTGAAACAACATCCTGATGGTTGAGTGAGTGGTCTCACACTCAACTGGTGACACGTGGTGTGAGTGGTCTCTCACTCAACTGGTGACACGTGGTGTGAGTGGAACTCTTGCTTGTGGGGAAAAGTGGGGACATGTGAGGGAATGTGAGGGAATACAAGAGAATGTGTGGGAATACAAGTGAATATGAGGGAATACAAGGGAATGTGTTATTTGATCTATAAGTTAGTTGAATAGTATCCACTCTTTGCTCGTGTGTGTGTGTGTGTGTGTGTGTGTGTAAAGTTTAGCTTAGGTCTTTAGTCTCCATCAAACTTGTAATGTGTGTGTGTGTGTTTGTGTGTAAAGTTTAGCTTAGGTCTTTAGTCTCTATCAAACTTGTACTGTGTGTGTGTGTGTGTAAAGTTTAGCTTAGGTCTTTAGTCTCTATCAAACTTGCAATATGTGTGTGTGTGTAAAGTTTAGCTTAGGTCTTTAGCCCTATCAAACTTGTAATGTGTGTGAATGTGTGTGCGTGTGAGTGTGTAAAGTTTAGCTTAGGTCTTAAGCCACATCTAACCATCCAACCAGCAGATCAAATGTTCAACCATCCCAGCCCTGTCTCAGCCACGTTTGTCTGAGGTAAACAAAACAATGTACAGAACTAATGTTCTAACTAGGCGCTCACTGATGGAGGGTTTAGTTCATACCACGTGACCGCTACTTTAAACATCCGGTCTGTTGGTTCCAGAACTACGTAGGCTGGTGGGGGGGGGGGGGCTTGTTTACACCTGCATTGGAGTTGGGGGTTGTCCATAAAATCGTCTGATGGGTTGCAAGGTGGTTGTCAGAATTATTGTACGGTTGCTGTGAGTCGGCAACAAAGATCGGTCAAATGAATGTGGTTAGGTCAAAGCTCATTCAAGTTTGATTATGCGAGGTGGGGGGGGGGGGGGGGGGGGTGAAAACATTCAAGTGTATGAGGGCAGGTAAGACAGATCGCGGTGTTTGACAGCACGCGGTACCTGGCTACAGTACCTGACTACAGTACCTGGTGCTACAGTACCTGGCTACAGTACCTGGCTACAGTACCTGGTGCTACAGTACCTGACTACAGTACCTGGTGCTACAGTACCTGGCTACAGTACCTGGCTACAGTACCTGACTACAGTACCTGGTGCTACAGTACCTGGCTACAGTACCTGGTGCTACAGTACCTGGTGCTACAGTACCTGGTGCTACAGTACCTGGTGCTACAGTACCTGGTGCTACAGTACCTGACTACAGTACCTAGCTACAGTACTTGGTGCTACAGTACCTGGTGCTACAGTACCTGGTGCTACAGTACCTGGTGCTACAGTACCTGGTGCTACAGTACCTGGTGCTACAGTACCTGGTGCTACAGTACCTGGTGCTACAGTACCTGGTGCTACAGTACCTGGTGCTACAGTACCTGGTGCTACAGTACCTGACTACAGTACCTGGTACTACAGTACCTGGTGCTACAGTACCTGGTGCTACAGTACCTGGTGCTACAGTACCTGGTGCTACAGTACCTGGCTACAGTACTTGGTGCTACAGTACCTGCTGCTACAGTACCTGGTGCTACAGTACCTGGTGCTACAGTACCTGGTGCTACAGTACCTGACTACAGTACTTGGTGCTACAGTACCTGGTGCTACAGTACCTGGTGCTACAGTACTTGACTACAGTACTTGGCTACAGTACCTGGCGCTACAGTACCTGGCTACAGTACCTAGTGCTACAGTACCTAGTGCTACAGTACCTGGCTACAGTACTTGGCTACAGTACCTGGTGCTACAGTACTTGGCTACAGTACCTGGTGCTACAGTATCTGACTACAGTACCTGGTGCTACAGTACCTGGTGCTACAGTACCTGGTGCTACAGTACCTGGTGCTACAGTACCTGGTGCTACAGTACTTGGTGCTACAGAACCTGACTACAGTACCCGACTACAGTACCTGGCTACAGTAGGGTAGCAGGGATAGGATACCTTACAGTTAATGTGTCACAACAGGTCAGATATTCAATGACTCTAGCTGGATGGGTTTTTTTTTCGTAGGACATTTAGAATCGTCTCAAGGGATTGTAGAGAAACCAGATGTAATCAAAGCTTGTAGAAACCAGATGTAATCAAAGCTTGTAGAAGCCAGATGTAATCAAAGATTGTAGAAGCCAGATGTAATCAAAGATTGTAGAAACCAGATGTAATCAAAGATTGTAGAAGCCAGATGTAATCAAAGATTGTAGAAACCAGATGTAATCAAAGCTTGCAGAAACCAGATGTAATCAAAGATTGTAGAAACCAGATGTAATCAAAGCTTGTAGAAACCAGATGTAATCAAAGATTGTAGAAACCAGATGTAATCAAAGATTGTAGAAACCAGATGTAATCAAAGATTGTAGAAACCAGATGTAATCAAAGATTGTAGAAACCAGATGTAATCAAAGATTGTAGAAACCAGATGTAATCAAAGATTGTAGAAACCAGATGTAATCAAAGATTGTAGAAACCAGATGTAATCAAAGATTGTAGAAACCAGATGTAATCAAAGATTGCAGAAACCAGATGTAATCAAAGATTGCAGAAACCAGATGTAATCAAAGCTTGTAGAAACCAGATGTAATCAAAGCTTGTAGAAACCAGATGTATTCAAAGATTGTAGAAACCAGATGTAATCAAAGATTGTAGAAACCAGATGTAATCAAAGCTTGTAGAAACCAGATGTAATCAAAGCTTGTAGAAACCAGATGTAATCAAAGATTGTAGAAAACAGATGTAATCAAAGATTGTAGAAACCAGATGTAATCAAAGATTGCAGAAACCAGATGTAATCAAAGATTGTAGAAAACAGATGTAATCAAAGATTGTAGAAACCAGATGTAATCAAAGATTGCAGAAACCAGATGTAATCAAAGATTGTAGAAAACAGATGTAATCAAAGCTTGTAGAAACCAGATGTAATCAAAGATTGTAGAAAACAGATGTAATCAAAGATTGCAGAAACCAGATGTAATCAAAGATTGTAGAAAACAGATGTAATCAAAGCTTGTAGAAACCAGATGTAATCAAAGATTGTAGAAAACAGATGTAATCAAAGCTTGTAGAAACCAGATGTAATCAAAGCTTGTAGAAACCAGATGTAATCAAAGCTTGTAGAAACCAGATGTAATCAAAGATTGGAGAAACCAGATGCAATCAAAGATTGTAGAAACCAGATGTAATCAAAGATTATAGAAACCAGATGTAATCAAAGATTATAGAAACCAGATGTAATCAAAGCTTGTAGAAACCAGATGTAATTAAAGATTGTAGAAACCAGATGTAATCAAAGATTGTAGAAACCAGATGTAATCAAAGATTGTAGAAACCAGATGTAATCAAAGATTGTAGAAGCCAGATGTAATCAAAGATTGTAGAAACCAGATGTAATCAAAGATTGTAGAAACCAGATGTAATCAAAGATTGTAGAAACCAGATGTAATCAAAGATTGGAGAAACCAGATGCAATCAAAGATTGTAGAAACCAGATGTAATCAAAGATTGTAGAAACCAGATGTAATCAAAGATTGCAGAAACCAGATGTAATCAAAGCTTGTAGAAACCAGATGTAATCAAAGCTTGTAGAAACCAGATGTATTCAAAGATTGTAGAAACCAGATGTAATCAAAGATTGTAGAAACCAGATGTAATCAAAGCTTGTAGAAACCAGATGTAATCAAAGCTTGTAGAAACCAGATGTAATCAAAGATTGTAGAAAACAGATGTAATCAAAGATTGTAGAAACCAGATGTAATCAAAGATTGCAGAAACCAGATGTAATCAAAGATTGTAGAAAACAGATGTAATCAAAGATTGTAGAAACCAGATGTAATCAAAGATTGCAGAAACCAGATGTAATCAAAGATTGTAGAAAACAGATGTAATCAAAGCTTGTAGAAACCAGATGTAATCAAAGATTGTAGAAAACAGATGTAATCAAAGATTGCAGAAACCAGATGTAATCAAAGATTGTAGAAAACAGATGTAATCAAAGCTTGTAGAAACCAGATGTAATCAAAGATTGTAGAAAACAGATGTAATCAAAGCTTGTAGAAACCAGATGTAATCAAAGCTTGTAGAAACCAGATGTAATCAAAGCTTGTAGAAACCAGATGTAATCAAAGATTGGAGAAACCAGATGCAATCAAAGATTGTAGAAACCAGATGTAATCAAAGATTATAGAAACCAGATGTAATCAAAGATTATAGAAACCAGATGTAATCAAAGCTTGTAGAAACCAGATGTAATTAAAGATTGTAGAAACCAGATGTAATCAAAGATTGTAGAAACCAGATGTAATCAAAGATTGTAGAAACCAGATGTAATCAAAGATTGTAGAAGCCAGATGTAATCAAAGATTGTAGAAACCAGATGTAATCAAAGATTGTAGAAACCAGATGTAATCAAAGATTGTAGAAACCAGATGTAATCAAAGATTGGAGAAACCAGATGCAATCAAAGATTGTAGAAACCAGATGTAATCAAAGATTGTAGAAACCAGATGTAATCAAAGATTGTAGAAACCAGATGTAATCAAAGATTGGAGAAACCAGATGCAATCAAAGATGGGTGATACGGTCACGTGACCGATTCAACACGAAAAAAAAACAGACTGTGACAAGACGTGTTTACCATCACACACACACACACACACACA